GCCCACCCTCCCGGAGCCCCTCCCGGGCCCACCCTCCCGAGCCAACCTCCCGGGGGGCCCACCCTCCCAGGCCACCCTCCCGGGGCCACCCTCCCGGGCCACCCTCCCGGGCCACCCTCCCGGGCCACCCTCCGGGGCCACCCTCCCGGGCCCCACCCTCCCGGGCCACCCTCCCGGGCTCCACTCTCGGGAGGCTTCCCGGCCACCCTCCGGGCCACCCTCCCGGGCCCACCCTCCCGCCTTCCGGGCCGCTCTCGAGCCGGGATCCCGGGCCACCCTCCCGGGACCACCCGGGCTACCCTCCCGGGCTACTCTCCCGGGCCACCCTCCCGCCTTCCGGGCCACCCTCCCGCCTTCCGGGCCACCCTCCCGGGCCCACCCTCCCGGGCCACCCTCCCGGCCACCCTCCCGGGCCCACCCTCCCGGGCCACCGTCCCGGGCCCACCCTCCCGGGCCCACCCTCCCGGGCCATCCTCCCGGGCCACCCTCCCGGGCCCCACCCTCGGGGACCCTCCCGGGCCACCCTCCCGGGCCACCCTCCCGGGCCACTCTCCCGGGCCACCCTCCCGGGCCACACCCTCCCGGGCCCACCCTCCCGGGCCCACCTTCCCGGGCCCACCCTCCTGGGCCCACTCTCCCGGGCTACTCTCCCGGGCCCACCCTCCCAGGCCACCCTCCAGGGCCACCCTCCCGGGCCCACCCTCCCGGGCCACCCTCCCGAGCCTACCCTCCCGAACCACCCTCCCGAGCCACCCTCCCGGACTCACCCTCCCCGGCCTGCCCTCCCGGGCCCACCCTCCCGGGCCCACCCTCCCGGCTCCACCCTTCCGGGCCACCCTCCCGGGCCACCCCCACGGGCTCACCCTCCCGGGCCACCCTCCCGGGCCACTCTCCCGGGCCACCCTCTCGGGCCCACCCTCCCGGGCCACCTTCCCGGGCCCACCCTCCGGGGCCGCTCTCCCAGGCACACCCTCCCGGGCACACCCTCCCGGGCCACCCTCCCGGGCCACCCTCCCGGGCCCACCCTCCCGGGTCACCCTCCCTGGCACACCCTCACGGGCCACCCTCCCGGGCCACCCTCCCGGGCCACTGGTCCGGCCCTGGATCTCCCCGGTCCGGACAGCTCGCTGTCCACCTCCTCCCATTCCACCTCCTTTTCTTTAGCCTGGCGGCCTCTCGCGCAGCAAGCGGGCGTCGGGTCAGCCGGATCCAAATCGAATCGCGAACGGGATCGTCGCCCGCTCTGCACCGGATGGCAATCGAATCGCTCGGCAACCGAATGGATTCGCGAACCGGATCGTGGCAGGGGGCCTCCAGCATCGAATCGGCACTCGCGGCGAGGCGATTCGCCGAATCGAACCGACCCGGATCGAATCTCGTGCGGACCTCTGTTGCCGCCCAGGCGCAGGCCTGAGGACGGGGCAGGGAGGGGGCAGCGCCCCCCGGCCAGGGCCCCGGCGCGCCCCGCGCCGATGCTTGTTTGCGCCAGAACAGCTACGCCAGGCCGGTGCGGGAGGGCCAGCGCGCCCTCCGTCGGTAAATCGTCTAATCGCATCGCCTGGAACCGGATCGCTGCGAACCGCAGGCGAATCGAACCGGGAACCGGATCGCGACCTCGCGGAATCGAACCGCGGACCGGATCGCGACCCTGTCGAATCGAATCGCGAGCCGGATCGTCGCCCGCTCTGCGCCGGATCGCAACATTGCATCGCTCGGCAACCGAATGGAATCGCGAACCGGATCGTGGCAGGGGGCCTCCAGCATCGAATCGGCATTCGCGGCGAGGCGATTCGCCGAATCGAACCGACCCGGATCGAATCTCGTGCGGACCTCTGTTGCCGCCCAGGCGCAGCTCCTGCAGGCTGGGCAGGGAGGGCAGCGCCCCCGCCAGGGCCCGCGCGCCCTCGTCGCCGATGCTGTTGTCGCCCAGCGACAGCTTCTGCAGGCCGGGCAGGGAGGGCAGCGCCCCCGCCAGGGCCCGCGCGCCCTCGGCGCCGATGCTGTTGTCGCCCAGGTCCAGCCGCTGCAGGCTGGGCAGGGAGGGCAGCGCCCCCGCCAGGGCCCGCGCGCCCTCGGCGCCGATGCTGTTGCTGCCCAGCCACAGCTCCTGCAGGCCGGGCAGGGGAGGGCAGCGCGCCCCCGTCGGGAAATCGTAATCGCATCGCCTGGAACCGGATCGCTGCGAACCGCAGGCGAATCGAACCGGGAACCGGATCGCGACCTCGCCGAATCGAATCGCAGGCCGGGCAGGGAGGGCCCGCGCGCCCCCTGTCGGGAAATCGTAATCGCATCGCCTGGAACCGGATCGCGACCCTGTCGAATCGAATCGCGAACCGGATCGCGCGACGGGATCGCGGCCCCCGGACCCCCCCGGCGTGGGCACTCCCCTTCGTGGCCGTCCTCCCTACATCCCTCCTTCCCCCTCTCTCCCTCCCCCTCCCTCCTCCTCCTCGGGACCCTCGGAGACCCTCCCGAACCCACCCCCCGGGCCACCCTCCCGGGCCCACCCTCGGGAACCCTCCCGGGCCCACCCTCCCGGGCCCCCCTGGAACACCCTCCCGGGCCACCATCCCGGGCCCACCCTCCCGCGGGCCACCCTCCCGGGCCACCCGCCCGAGTCCCCCGAACCCTCACGGGTCACCCTCCCGGGCCATCCTCCCGGGCCCACCCTCCCGGGCCCACCCTCACGGGCCACCCTCCCGGGCCACCCTCCCGAGCCACGCTCCTGGGCCACCCTCCCCTTCCCTCCTCCTCCTCCTCTCGTTGCGCTTGCGCGGGCTCGCCCTCGGGGACCCTCGGGGGCCCTCCCGGGCCACCCTCCCGGGTTCCCCTCCGCCCTCGAGGACCCTCCCGGGCCACCCTCCCGGGCCACCCTCCCGGGCCCCACCGGGCCACCCTCCCGGGCCCACCCTCCCGGGCCCACCTTCCCGGGCCACCTTCCCGGGCCCACCCTCCCGGGCCCACCCTCCCGGGCCCACCCTCCTGGGCCACCTTCCCAGGCCACCCTCCCGGGCCTCTCCCGGGCCCACCCTCCGGGGCCACCCTCCCGGGCCCACCCTCCCAGGCCACCCTCCCGGGCCACCCTCCCGGGCCACCCTCCCGGGCCCCACCTCCCGGGCCACCCTCCCGGGCTACCCTCCCGGGCCACCCTCCCGGGCCACCCTCCCGGGCCACCCTCCCGGGCCCACCCTCCCGGGCCACCCTCCCGGGCCACCCTCCCGGGCCACCCTCCCGGGCCACCCTCCCGGGCCCACTTGGAAGCATCTTGGTTTACGTTAACTTAGTTACTTACTAAGTTGTTACAAGCATACGTTAAACATGTATAAGCACAACATCAACCACTAGAAGTTTTCATAACCTGTTACCGCATAGACCACCCTTCGGGTGATAAGGACGCGAGGGGGGGAGGGACCACCGTCGCACTCGATCGATCTCACTATCGATCTCATTATCGATCTCGCTATCGATTCGATCAATCTCACAATCGATCTGGCTATCGATCTCACACTCGATCTCACTAACGAAATAGCTATCGATATCACAATCGATCTCACCAGAGATCTGGCAATCGATCTGGCTATCGATCTCGCGATCGATCTCACATTCGGTCTCACGATCGATCTCACTTCCGAAATCACGATCGATCTCATTCGATCGATCTCACAATCGATTTCACATTCGATCTCACTATCGATCTCACTATCGATATCACAATCGAGCTCACAATCGATCTCACAATCGATCTGACTATCGATGTCACTGTCGAACTCACTACCGAAGACATGATCGACCTCTCGTTCGATCTCACTATCGATCTCACTATCGACATGACAATCAATATCACAATCGATCTCACATTCGGTATCACTATCGATCTCGCTATTGAACTCACTATCGATCTCACGATCGATCTCACACTGGGTCTCACTATCGACCTCACTATCGATATCACAATCGATCTCACAATCGATCTCACATTCGGTCTCACTATCGATCTCACTACCGAACTCACCATCATCACCACCATCATCGTCACCATCATCATCATCGTTGTCAACATCATCATCATCGCCATCATCATCATCATCATCATCATCATCATCATCAGCATCATCATCATCATCATCATCATCATCATCATCATCAGCATCATCATCATCATCATCATCATCATCATCATCATCATCATCATCATCACCGACGGGACACCGACGGGACACCGGCGGGACACCGCGAGGCCCCGGCCGCCCGGAAGGGAATCATTTGGTCCAGCCGCGCCTCAGCCACGCGGGACACCAGCGGGACACCGGCGGGACATCGCGGGGCCCCGGCCGCCCGGAAGGGAATCATTTGGTCCGGCCGCGCCTCAGCCACAGGAGACTTTCTCTCGCCCGCCCACGCAGCTTCGCCTCGCCCGCGCGCACGGCACGCACGGACACGAAACCGAGATCGATTTCCCGGTAGGGGGGCTCTCCCTTCCACTTCGATCTCACACCCCCACCTCCGATCACAATCGATCTCGCATTCAGCCTCACTATCGATCTCTCTATCGAACTCACTTTCGATCTCATTATCGATCTCACTATCGATCTCACAACCGAACTCACAACCGATCCCACATTCGGTCTCATCATCGATCTCACTACCGAAATCACTATCGATCTCATTACTGATAGTGATCTCACTACTAACTCAATCGATCGATCTCACAATCGATCTGACTATCGATCTCACAATAGATTCCACAATCGATCTCACATTCGGTATCACTATCGATCTCACTATCGATATCACAACCGATCTCACAATCGATGTCCCATTCGGTTTCACAATTGATTTCACAATCGATCTCATTATCGGTCTCACATTCGGTCTCACAATCGATCTCACAATCGATCTCACAAGCGATCTGACATTCGATCTCACGTTCGATCTCACAATCGATATCACTACCGATCTCACTATCGACCATCAAAATAAAACATCAACATCGTCATCATCATCACCATCATCATCATCATCAATATCATCATCATAATAGGGACACCGACGGGGCACCGGCGGGACACCGCGAGGCCCCCGGCCGCCCGGAAGGGAGTCATTTGGTCCGGCCGCGCCTCGGCCACACGGGACACCAGCGGGACACCGGCGGGACACCGCGGGCCCCCGGCCGCCCGGAAGGGAGTCATTTGGTCCGGCCGCGCCTCAGCCACAGGAGACTTTCTCTCGCCCGCCCACGCAGCTTCGCCTCGCCCGCGCGCACGGCACGCACGAACACGAAATCGAAATCGATTTCCCGGTAAAGGGGGCTCTCCGTTCCACTTCGATCTCACACCCCCTCACCTCCGATAGCGCACGCATAAATACTTAACAAAGCCAGCTAACGTTTAGGGTGATTTACGGCTCGTCAAGATACTGTAGGTGTGTCTTAACATCGCTACTAAGAGTTACGGTTGTTTTAGTAAGTATGCGCCTAACGCGAGCTAACCAAGCTAAGCCATGTTAACTCATGTTAAACCGTTGAGCTAACCCAAGTTAAAGTTTAAGACAGCTCAGCCAACGTTAGCTAACGCGTCATAAGGACAATCTAAGTTTTAATATGGTTTAGCATGATTAAACACAGTTTAACTTAGTTTTAACATGTTTTAACATACGCTAACATGATTTAGCTAACACTTAACATGAGTTAACATGAGTTAGATAACCCTTTAACATATTTAAAGATAGTTTAGCTAAGCCTTTGTAAGATCAGCTGTCATTGTTTTACGCATTGGTGTTGTGTATGATTGTCAGGTCATGGTATGCTACAGAAGCGGTTGTCTCATGTGTTTTCCTGTTGGTTGCCTACTCGTGTTGTTCCGCATGTATGTTTTTGCGTTTGCGTGTGATTGGTTCGATGCATTTTGTTTTGATTTTTTTCTGCGGGTTGACTTGTGTTGGTTCGAACACGATGTGGGTCCGCAGTGGTTTCTCGTGAAATCGGAGCGGTCTCTAAGTTGAAGCCGCTGAGTTTGCCATGTAGGTTTGCATGTTGTGCTTCGACCATGATGTCTTACATTCATTGTTTCCCCATCTGTTTTGCATGCGATCTAAGGGGGATCACGCGCTACATGTATTGTTTTTCTTTTTTTGCATGTGGTATTGCGACGCTCGTGTGCCGCAAAATGGTATTCAGATTATGGCGCGTTAACAGTCTAAAATGTTTTTTTTTTGTTTTTTTTGTTTCCTCTCTCTCTCTCTCTCTCTCTATATATATATATATATATATATATATTCGAGCGTTCTTGAGACCGTGGTGAGTTGCAATTATGGCTTTCTCGCGTGTTTTCTTCAGTGTGTTTCAAGCGCGCTGCATGCGGCATTGTGACCTTTTGCTTTGCACGCGGCGTCCCGACCATGATGTGTTACATAATGTTATCGTATTTCGGGTGGGAAGCTTGACCGGTGCATGCGTTGTCATTGGTTGTGCGTGCGGTGGTGCGATCATGATGTTATGCACGGTTCGTTTTTTCGTTGCGAGGTTGCCTCCCCCGATCAAGATCTTATCGGGTTCGCGGGTGGTGATTCAATCGCGGGTTAGCGGGTGGTGCGGTTTGAGATGCACACGCCCTTGTTTTTTTTCATGTGTTCGTCGCTGTTGTGTTGTGGTCATGCGTGTCGTGATGCGCCATTGAATTGGGCGTCCTGCGAGCTGCAGCCTCGCCGGTGCAAGCCCGCCCCCCGAGCTGCAGCCTCGGGCCCCTTTCGGCTGGGAGCGATGTCCGCTCCGCCGATTGCACCTCCAGGCGCAGCCGCGCGGGCGCCGCCGCCCGCCTCCAAGTCGGCGTTCGTCGCCGCGCATGGCGGCTCGGAGGTCGTCGCCAAGGCGAGCGGTTTTCCACCGCCCCCCTCCGCGCGGCGCGCGGGGGTGCATCCCATTGAGGTCGCGGAGCTGCCGCCGACCGCGCCCGCCGCGAAGCGGATGCGCCGCGACGCCGACTACGCGGCGGAGAGGGCGGCAGCGACGCGCCCGCAGATGCGGCACGCGACGAGCGACGACGAGAAGGAGGCTGGTCAGCTGACGCCGCGCAGGTCGCGGTGGGCGGACGAGCCGTGGTTCCCGCTCGTAATTCCAGTGCGCTGGGATTACGAGTGCTCCCTCGCGCACGCGCGGCAGTCGTCGTCG